CTGCCCCCGTGTGGCTGGGGGGGCGGTATGCTAGTTCTGAACAGCCAGGAGTAGCTCTGGGGGAGCCCTGCCCTTCTGGGCAGGCCCTCCTGGCCCTACTCGAGTGGAGATTTTCAGCCCCAGAGAGAGTGATGTGTAAGTTGTTTGTTACAAAGGCGTAATGTAGCTGTCCCTGGCTAACACCAGGGCTGCAGGCCGCCTGGTGAGATCCTGAATAACAGCAGTTATTCGTTTTTCAAAGGAGGAGGGGGCCATTTTGACTAGAGCTTCAGTAGTCTTGACTGGCTGGCCCCAAGGCAGGACAGCATAGCACAGGGGCCTGTGATGTTTGGCTACTTGCTGAATGACAGCCCGGAAGCAGACAGAGGAGAGAAGAGCTGGGGAGGGAGATAAACCTCCCAGGTTTCTGCAGGAGCCACACCTCCTCCCTGCCTCCCAGCAAGCCAGCTCTGCCTTCACCGAGCGGTGATCATTGCTGCCATATTACCATAAAAATAATGATTTCAATCATAGCTGCCACTCACTGAGAGCCCCTGATGTTCTACCCAGTGCATGCAACGTCTCCATCAATCCTCTGGAAAAAGACGCAGGAGAAAGGCATTATTATCCCCTAGCCAAGAGGAGCAAACCCAAGCTTAGGAACTGGCAGATTTCCTGTCTGCTGTTGATGCTGTTCATTCTGCCGCTCCCTGGATGAATTGATTTTAGCAAAATAATGTAGCAATGATTTTCTGTTTGGAAAACAGTTTCACCACTAGAGTATCCACACCCTGTGCCCCACTTGTTACTGGTGTAGGCCAGGTTTTTGTGCAGTTCGGTCACCTGAACAGGAGATACAGTTTGCATAACGATGCTTTGGCTGGGGGCAGGTAAACAATGGTTTTGTAAGATTATAATAGAGCTGAAAAGTTCCTATTGCAGTGACCACACAGCTGGAGAATAGAAAAAGAAAGTGCAGGGGGAACAAAGAAAAGAACCCCTAAGAAAATTCACAGTGAAGATTTAGCAAGATGCAGTTGTGGACTTCAACAGGCTCCTTAATAGTGTTTGAAACCCAAAGGCTGTCCTTAATAGAGGAGAGTGTTCAGGTGTGATATCTGCCTAAGGCAAAATCTATGACAGAAAAAGGGAGAAAAACAAGCAAGCAGCTAAGGGCTTACTTCTGAAGAGCGACCTGCCCCAGTCCTTCAAGAGGGAGGCCGCGCTGTGGTCATGGAGGTGACAGGTGCTGTGTCACTGCCTTCCAGGGGGATGGGATATGGAGGCGGAAGACAGAGACTGATGCTCCTGACCTTGTGGAGGCCTAGGCCAGTGTGTGTTTGCATCTTGATTTTTAATTTAAAATTTTTTTAAAGTAAAATAAAATTTAAATAGAAAAAAGCTTATATAAAAGGATACAAAACTACTTTTGTACAGTTGCACGATTGTGTTTGAGGCTGTTAGTACAAATGAGTCAAAATGTTTAAATTTTCAAAGGCTTATAAAGTAAAAATGTTACAGTAAACTGAGGTTCCTTTATTTCCGAAAAGAGAATACTTGTCATCAGTTCGGTGCAGGCTAAGTGTGGCGGTGTGAAGTCTGTGCGAGTGCATAGAAGCGTCCTGGGCTCCCACACTCACTCCGCACCCTCACTGGCTCACCTGGGGAGTGCCAGTCTGGCAAGCGCCCCTCGGGTACGCACAAGGGCACCATCTCTACCATACTGTAACTGTACTCCTAGATGACCCCAAGCCCCACGCAGTCTTAGGCAGGGCTTTTTCAGGGGTGGCTGGATCTAGGGTGTGTGATTGATTAACAGTGCAATGCTAGGATTAAGGGTGGCTGATCATTAAACCAGTCCGCTGATTGGTTTGGCCCTGCTTTAATCTCAGTAGTCTGAATACAGGATAGGGGGCAGAAAGAGGCTTGTCTTGTTGGTTTGTCACCTTCTGTCCGCCACAAACTGTTTCTCCTCCCTGATGCCTCCCCGCCTGGAGCCAGCTGACTATGGACAGACACCTTTGCAAATTGTGAGCTAAATAAACCCTTCTTCTTTTAACTTGTGGGTGTTGGGTATTTTGTCTCAGCAACGAGAAAAGTAACTGAGACAAACAGCATTGTATTACAGTTGTGTGGTCTAGGAGTCACAGGCAGTATAGTCTTTAAGTTTATGGGAATACAGTGGATCCTCAAATTACGACCGGCCTGACATATGAACAACCTGGGTTAATTAGGTTAATGGAAGGTTAATAGAGTGTACCCAGGTAAACATCCAGATCTCAGCTGTATTGACTTAACAACCAACTTGAGTTACAACCAGCCTTTGGGAACTGATCGAGTTCGTAAGTCAAGGGTCCACTGCATTACCATGTCCATATACAAGGAATCGCCTAAGACCACTTCTCAGAACATATGCTCATTGCTAAGCCATGCAAGACAGTATATACATGCAAAATATGCACAGGAAAGTGATTAAAGACACCAGACTTCTCTCTCTAGGTAACCCAGGCTGGCCTTGAGGTTTCTGTCCTCCTGCCTCAGCCTCCCTAAGTGCTAGGATCGCCACCACGCCTGGTTTTCAGTTTGTGTCTTGAGTCACTAGTGTGCCTCCTTCGGCCTGTGTTTAGAATGTTATGGGACCAGCATGGTGGCCACGTTTGTTTATCTCCTCCTCCAGCGGGGTTAGTTTCTTTTTCATTGTAACAGCTGTATGACTTTCCTAGCTTTAATGGTAGTCTCTGAAAACGCTCCTGGGAGACTTGCAGGACACAAACACATCTTGAAATACCTTTAGGTCTGTCCTGTAGTTGTTCAGTGCGACCCAGAGGAGCCCATGCAGGAACGCTCCTCGCAGACTTGAACTAGGGCAATCGTAGGTGAATGTGCGGCGCCCCCGCGTGGCGCCTGGAGCAACGTCAGCCTGAGCCCCTCTCGATTCCCCCTCGGGGTCTATCCGGGCCCTGGATCGTCTCCTGCCCCCACCCCAACCGTCTTCTTGGGCGCGCACTCGACCCTCTGGGTCTCAGTCCCCTCGCACCGTACCCCCAGCTTCAGCAGACACAGCAGGTGCCACGTTATTTTATTGCGGAGCGCAGAGGTCAGTGAATGCTTGGACGCCCCTCCTGCCCCTGGCGGTGGCTGCGTTCTCCGCCGGGGCCTCGATCACACCCGGACCGCCGCGGGGTCGCCCCGGGTCCCCGCTCCAACCCCCAGCTAGCAGACACAGCAGGTGCCACGTTATTTTATTGCGTAGCGCAGAGGTCAGTGAATGCTTGGACGCCCCTCCTGCCCCTGGCGGTGGCTGCGTTCTCCGCCGGGGCCTCGATCACACCCGGACCGCCGCGGGGGGTC